CAACAACAACAACAACAACAACAACAACAACAACAACAACAACAACAACAACAACAACAACAACAACAACAACAACAGCAGCAGCAACAAATACCATCACCTCAAATGCAACAACAATCACAGAGATTTTTATTAGCACAACAGGCCGCCGCCGCACAACGACAACACATGTTACAGCAGCAGACATCACCCCAGCAACAACAACCTATATTCATGCCAAACATACAAAACCCTGATCAAAGGCAAACTTTAATTCAAATGATAAATTCTACTCCCGCTTTAAAGCAACAGCTCCAACAACACAGAGAGCAACAGATTAGGCGACAGATTCTATCAACTATGCAATCGGCACCTCAACAAATCGCCACGAATAATTATAATCGACCAAACCTTTCCCAACAGATACAATCTTCACCCAAACCTGGGCAACAAGGGGGTTTTAGAGTAAACAATATACAACAAGTCTTATCAAGATTAGGTATGCCTCCAGATACACCAATAACGGAAGATCTTCTTAAGAAGATCAATTATGTTACATCTTCACAATTTCTTATGGCACGAGCACAACAAGCAGCTGCTCAACAGAGACAAGTTTCAGCGCCTCAATATACACAAGTTCCAACAACACAACACACCCCAGTTCAAACTTCCCAACAAGTCCAAGTTGCGCATGCCCAAGCTGCGCATGCCCAAGCTCAAGCTCAAGCTCAAGCTCAAGCCCAAGCTCATGCTCAAGTTTCAACCTCGCAAAATCCACAAGCCCCAGGTTCGCATCATGCCCAAGTACAAGCAGCTCATAATGCTCAAGTACATGCTCAAATGAGTTTAAATCATGCCCAGGCTCAGCAGGCACAAGCGGCTCATCATGCAGCCCAGGTCCAAGCTGCGGCTCACCATGCTCAAGTACAAGCTGCTCAACATGCTCAAGTACAAGCTGCTCAACATGCACAAGTCCAATCATCTCCCCAACATTCTCAGGTTCAAACATCTCATCATGCACAGGTCCAAGCTGTGCATCATGCACAAGTTCAAGCATCACCACGGGCTCAGGTCCAAGCTGTGCACCATTCCCAAGTTCAAACACCACAACATTCTCAAGTCCAGACTACGCATCATGCCCAGCAACAGCAGCAGCAACAACAACAACAACAACAACAAGAAATGGTTTTAAATTCACCTGCAATGGCAAATAGAATGAAGTCTAATCAACAAAATAATATAAAGTTAACTAATAATGGGAACATTCAATCACAAAATCAGAATTCTGTATTCGTGATGCCAAATCAATCTTCTTCAGTCAACGCATCTCCAGGAAATATGCCAAATAAATCAAATAAAACTCCGAAGATGTCATCTAAAGTACATAATAAAGTACCAACAATGTTAATTCCCACGACTGCAACAACAACAACAACTACTACCTCTACCACCACCACTAATAATAATGGTACAACTTCTACAAATTCAGGAATGTTGCCTTTAACATCTAATTCTGCGATGATTTCGCAAACTTCCAATGCTGTAATCAATCCATCGACTTCTAATGTCACCACTATTCCAAATTTGGATATTCAAAATTCCGAAACTACAATAGTTTCTCAAAATTCTGATGCAACTACAATACCAAAAAATTCCGATACAACAATGATGTCAAGGCAACCCACAATGATTATCCCACAGAATATGAATAATATTAATATAGAAACACATCGTCCTAATGTTCCTATGATACCTCAAGATATTACAATGAATTTTCCTTCCGTTAAACCTGCGACTTTAACTCCTAGAGAAGAAATGATAGCGTTCGCTGCAATTCATCAAATGGAATTAAGCGCTAATCAGAGGAGGATTCAATATCATGAAATCCATGATCTTAGCGATGATGAAAAAGCCAAGATTCTTCAAAAATTACAAGAATTACAGCCGATGTATAATGAGGTTGATAAAATATTGCCATATGTTTGGCATTATACGAAATCAGCACAAGGGACTTCTCGATTGATTGGTATGAAATATATGATTGAAGATCAATTAAAAGCATTAAAAGCATTACCGGAAAAATTCCTTCTTCGGCTGGAACTAGTTGAGAATCTAATTAAACAATTCCAAAAATATTTTACATATGTGGATTCTTGTCGAAAGGGAATTGTCGATGCAAATGCAAATGCAAATGCATTATTTAGTATAAATAATATTCAATTAGTACAACCTCCCGCGCCATTAAATGTTGAAGGAATGATTAGACCGCGAATTAACCCATCCGATTTAAAACTTCCGGCGCAAAAATCAAATGACTTAAATTTATCAAGCACGGGAAAACGACGCAGAAAATCAACCGATCCTGCACATCAACCACCCAACAAAAAACAATCTATCAATTCCAATAATGTTAATAATCAAAATAAATTACCTGATGTGATTATAGTTGATCCACCAAACATATCATTTAAACCTTCACGTTCTTCTTCATCAGATAAAAGAAAAAATTCAGTTATAATAATTCCCGATGATGCTAAACCAGAGGCGGAGACATCAGAAAAACGAAAAGAAATAAGCCAAATCAAATCAGATGATCTTACAACTGAAGCGATGGTTGCAAAAAATAAAACAATGGTTCAATTTGCTGAGCTTCTTAGTAACTTATTTAAAAGCGATCAAAATATTGGTGAAAAAATCGAGAAGCAAAATGGGCCAAGCAACCCTCAGAGAGCTATTCTTGATGGATTTCAACCGCATGATGAAACTGTTGATCCACCCAATCTTTTGATCTCATTGTATAACACAGCGTAATTCAAATAATTCTAAAAATTAATAATTTTATTTTATTTTAATTGATATGAAATGATTTTAAATGTAAAAAAATAATTGTTTATAAAATTATATTATTTCTTTCTTTCTTTCTTTCTTTCTTTGATATTGAATGTTTTTTTAAGTACATTCTTGATAATTAGAATCTTGGGATTTAACAATAATAAGTATTAGAAATAAAAAATTGAAGTGATTCTCTTTTTTTTTTTGTAGTTTTACATTATTATTATTAAATGCACGAATAGATATAACGCATGTGACTTTTATAGTGTGTCAAGAGTTTGTACTACATGAAATATTGAACTCTAAAATTAAAAAATCCCGTTAAATTTGCTATATTATGTACATCTAATCTAATTTTCTAATTTAATTTTTTATCTCAGGTTCTAAAAGAGGGTCAGACTTTTTTAATTCTTGAAGGGGATCCAAATCATCTGGATTTGGTGAAGGTTAATGAAATAAAATCAATGTTTTTTGATATTATGGAAAATATTTTATTCCAATATGCATCAGCACCTCTAAAATATATACTTGTAGATTCCGGATTTAAAACACCAAAAAATAGAACTAAATGTAAATTGACGTTTCCTACATGTCTTGAATTTTTGTTTCAGTTTTTCTTTAATATGATAAACTAAGTCTTGACGTGTTCTTCTATAACATCATTGGCTTGTGTTTAATTAATGTTGAAGATCTTTTATAAATTTTTCCCCCACATTTTACATTCTATTGATTGCTACGAAACAAGTTGGGTCGGAGGAATGGAATCAATCATTATAAATATGCTTTTTGAGATATATTATTAAGTGTACTATACATGTGTATATTTTTTTTTATATAAAAAAAGAGTAAATGCACTTCACTTCACTTGTAAATAACTACTACAAAAATTCAAGAAAATATATTCACGCGTTTATATAAAAGTATAAATTTCATTTTTTATTCTTAAAACTTTTGTCAATGGTATTTTAACAGATGCAAAATATCTGAAATCCTTTTTTAAAGTAAAATTATAATTTTTAGTATATTCTCAAATTTGATAGGTATAATTAAATACAGAAACTTCAACTCCAATAAAAGTTGATCAATTTAAGCCAGATCAAAATTTTAATTTCTACGGTTAAAATTTTATTTCTATATATAGTAATAAAGTTTTAATTCAAAAAACTGAACAATTTTAATTATAACTAAGTTCCTATTATAGAGGTTCCGCGTATCGTTATAATTTTTTTTTTGATCAAAATTTATGAATCACGTTGTACATAACAAAAAAATGCATAGGGGTACAGATTCTTATCGTTTTTGATAGATCAATGGTACTAATTATTCGATGTTCATATGAATTTTTTTTTTGTTATTATTTAAATCACGTGACACTACATATTTAGTTGCATCACGTTACTCAAAAATAAGTCTATCAAACTAGGGTTAGTGATGAAAAATGACTTAAATGACTTCATTTGTCATTTAATCCAACCAATTATAATTCACCGATTTTTAAATGACTTGGTCAATTGGTCATTTGTCATTTGCGAATGACCATTTTGAAATGACCCAAATGACCTTAGAAGGTCATTTTAAAATAGGCAAATGACCAAGTCATTTTCCCATCACTGGGACTTTAGAATTTTTTACATACGGAAATACTGAAACCATATTTGTCACCTACTATTTCTACTATTTGTCACATAAAAATTACACGTGAATCATAATGATCACCTGCAAGGCTATGGACCAATGAAATTCGGATAAGAGTCTACACTCACATATTTGAAACATGATATGGTAATTCTGCGGATATGAAATGTACCCCATTTTATTTATACTATATACTTAATTATATTACTAATTATTTTAATTATTTCCAATTCATCAATTCAGTGCGTTTTTATACACTTTTGATAGTCATTTTTATCATAATCAGTATATAAACATGAAATATTGAAGCAACATTAATTGTAATAAGTTTTCAACTCTTCCCAGAACATCCCCCTTTTTTTACATTTTCTGGGAGGTAGCGAACACTCAAAAAATTTGGTTGTCTTCTCCCGTTCTTTAACTGGTCTTAAAAATAAGATCAACCGTCAATATGAACGGACATCAGTTTGCATACTCGTCTGCACCGCTTCGGCGAGTTAAATATGTACAATTTGGAATATTGTCCCCAGAAGAAATTGTATGTTTTATTTTACTTTATAAAGTTTCTCGCTTGCTAGTCAAGTGCCAGAAATAAAGGAATAGAACATGTTTGACTCTCTTTCTATGCTTACTATTACAAAAAAACAGAAACAAATGTCCATAGCTCAAATTGAACATCCCGAAACTATGGATGAATCTGGCCATCGACCTAAACAAGGAGGTTTACTGGATCCACGTATGGGTACAATAGATAGAAATTTTAAGTGCCAGACATGTGGTGAAGGAATGTCTGAATGTCCTGGTCACTTTGGTCATATTGAATTGTGCAAACCTGTTTTTCACATAGGTATTATTTGTATTATTTATATTTATTACTCTCTATGTATATAAAGATTTCAAAAATTTAAAAGGGTTTTTCTTTGTAATAAATTTATCACAATCTATTTTGATTAAAATAGGATTTTTACCTAAAGTAAAAAAGATCCTCGAGTGTATCTGCATAAATTGCTCAAAATTAAAGACAGATGATGTTAGTTGTAATCTTTTTTTTTTTTTTTTTTTTTTTTTTTTTTTTTTTTTGATTTAATACATTCTTCAATCCATTATGTAATTTATGTAATTTAATTTAAAAATATATATATATATATTATTATTATTAAATATAATAACTTCACAGTCCAATGGTAAATTTGCCCAAGCACGCAAAATTCGTGATCCCAAGCGTAGACTTAAAGCTGTATGGGATATTTGTAAATCTAAAATGACATGTGAACGTGGAGAAGACTCGGAACAAGACGCTGACAAGGGTTCTGACTACGATGAATTTCACTCTTCTCAAAAGCATTCCGATAAAAAAACCGACGAAGAACTAGGTTTAATCAGAAAAAAGAAGCCTCATGGAGGTTGTGGACATAAACAGCCAACCGTCCGTAAAGATGGTTTAAAACTTTATGTAAACTATAAAAGTAAAGATAATGAGGTAAAATTTATTTAATACTTCTCTCATATTATTTTTTCATTATTTATATTATTATTATTTTTATTATTATTATTTTAATTTGATATCTAATTATAATAATTATAATAATGACATTATTTGTTTCTAGGATCAATCAGCACAAGATACTAGGAAGCCTCTTACCCCTGCTGAAGTGTATTTAATTTTCAAAAAGATTAGTCCTCAAGACCTTCGCGATATGGGACTAAATGCTGAATACGCTAGACCGGATTGGATGATTATAACTATACTTCCTGTTCCTCCTCCTCCTGTACGTCCCAGTATACAAATGGACGGAACAAGTCGAGGTGAAGATGATTTGACTCATAAATTGTCCGACATCTTGAAGGCAAATCAAAACGTAAAACGTTATGAAGCTGATGGTCATCCCCCACACGTTGTAAACGAATTTGAAGCATTGTTACAGGTTATTAATAATTATAATTTCAAATTAGTTTAATATCAATTGAAATTTATATTTAAATTTATTATTTATATGCAAACAGTTTCATTGTGCAACTTATATGGACAATGAAATGGCTGGTCAACCTCAAGCTCTTCAGAAATCTGGTAGACCTTTAAAGTCAATACGTGCACGTCTCAAGGGTAAAGAAGGACGATTACGCGGTAATCTGATGGGAAAACGTGTAGATTTCTCTGCTCGTACAGTAATTACGGGTGACCCAAATATTTCAGTTGATGAAGTCGGAGTTCCGAAAAGCATAGCTCAAAATTTGACATTTCCAGAATTGGTGACTCCCTTTAATATTGATTATCTTCAAAAATTAGTAGAAAATGGCCCTTCTACACATCCAGGGGCTAAATACGTAATTAGAGATACTGGTGAAAGGATTGATCTAAAACATATATCAGGCATGACTGGTGGATTAAGGTTACACTACGGTTGGAAAGTTGAACGTCATCTCAATGATGGTGACATCGTTATATTCAATCGTCAACCATCTTTGCACAAGATGTCGATGATGGGACATAAAGTTCGTGTTATGCCCTATTCGACCTTCCGTCTTAATTTATCAGTTACAACACCTTATAACGCCGATTTTGATGGTGATGAAATGAACATGCATGTTCCCCAATCAGTTGAAACTAAAGCAGAAATTTCAGAAATTTGCATGGTTCCTAAACAAATTGTATCTCCCCAATCAAATAAACCTGTTATGGGTATTGTACAGGATACTTTATGTGCTGTTAGAAAATTTACAAAAAGGGATTGCTTTTTATCTAAAGATTTGGTAATGAACATTTTAATGTGGGTTTCGGATTGGGATGGTCGTCTTCCAATACCTTGTATCCTGAAACCAATTCCTTTATGGACAGGCAAGCAAATTTTGAGTATGATCATTCCTAAGGGCATAAATTCGGACAATCTTAGACATTCAACTCACCCAGATTCTGAGCGATCAGATATTTCTCCTGGAGATACCAAAGTTTTAATAGAAGATGGTGAATTACTTTGTGGTATTGTGTGTAAAAAGACAGTTGGAACATCACAACAAGGTTTAGTTCATGTTATTATGCAAGAACTTGGCCCAGAAAAAGCAAAGGACTTTTTGAATGGATGTCAAGCGGTAGTTAACCAATGGTTATTACAAAATGGATTTAGTATCGGTATCGGTGATACGATCGCCGATAAAGATACAATGGATGCGATTACACGAACTATTGCAAATGCTAAAGAACGTGTTGCGGACTTTATTACGGAAGCGCAACAAAACAAGTTAGAATGTTTACCTGGTATGACAATTAGAGAAACATTTGAAAATAAAGTTAATAAAGAACTCAACACAGCTCGTGATTCGGCTGGTCAAAGTGCCGAAAAGAGTTTGAGTGAAGATAATAATGTAAAACAAATGGCGGTTGCTGGTTCAAAGGGTTCCTTCATAAACATATCACAAATGACTGCTTGTGTAGGTCAACAAAATGTTGAAGGAAAACGTATTCCCTTTGGGTTCAAATTCCGTACTTTACCCCATTTCACCAAAGATGATCACAGTCCCGAAAGTCGTGGTTTTGTCGAAAATTCATATCTTCGTGGATTAACTCCACAAGAATTTTTCTTTCATGCAATGGGTGGTCGTGAAGGTAATTAATTAATACTTTGTTTGTTAATGATAAATTATTGGGTGTGTTCACATTCGGATTGTTTGAGTTTACACGAATCGTGGTTACATCAAAACGGATTATTCCTCTAACCAAAAATCTAATCCAGATTGGATTATCACTAATTAAATCCCAATCTATCTCACGGGGTATATTAAACAAAATTTATGTTCATATAATAATACATAAACAATCCATAATTTGTGAACAGGATTGGATTAACATTTGGATTCGGATGGACAGATATGAATCCTGGATTGACCCAATTCCAATCCAAATTTCTGTGTGAACACACCCATTATGTTATGAGAAACTATTCTTTAAATTAATTATTTCTTAATTTGTTTAGGTTTAATTGATACGGCTGTCAAGACTGCAGAAACTGGTTATATCCAACGCCGTTTGGTTAAAGCCTTGGAAGATGTGATGGTTAAGTATGACGGAACGGTCCGTAACTCACTTGGTGATATCGTCCAATTTTGTTACGGCGAAGATGGGATGGATGCATGTTTTGTTGAACCTCAAAATTTTGATTCCTTACAAATGACCGATGAAGATTTTGATAATAAATATATGATCGAAGTTACTAAAAATGATGAAAAAGATAAGGAAAAAGAGAATGATCAGAAAGAAGATAATGAACCTGTAGAGGCACCACAAAAACCAAAGACCCCACAAGATTTAGTAAAAGAGAAAATTATCGAGGAATATAATCAATTAAAAGAAGATCGTAGGATGCTACAAACATATATTTTCCCAAAGGGTGATAATAAATGGCCGTTGCCAGTAAATATTAAACGTCTCATAAAAAATGCACAACAAAAGTTTAACATCCGACCTTCACGCAGAGCTACTACTGATCTGCAATTTATCGATGTCATTAATGCCGTCGAAGAACTGATGACAAAATTGGAAGTAGTCAAGGGTAATGATCTGATTAGTATTGAAGCGCAATCAAATGCCACCATGTTATTTAGAATTTTATTAAGATCGTGGTTAGCAAGTCGACGTGTGACAGAAGAATTTCATCTCAATTCTCAAGCATTGAAATGGGTATTGGGTGAAATAGAGTCAAGATTCCGAAAATCACTTGTTGCACCAGGTGAAATGGTTGGAACTGTGGCTGCGCAATCAATCGGTGAACCTGCAACACAGATGACTTTGAATACCTTCCATTATGCTGGTGTATCCAGTAAAAACGTTACCCTTGGTGTACCTCGTCTCAAAGAAATTATCAATGTTGCAAAGAACATTAAAACACCGTCCGTTCATATATATTTAGTGGGAGGTTGTGCTGAGGATATTGAACGTGCAAAAGAGATACAAAGTGCAATCGAATATACCACCTTAAAGACTGTGACACAACGTACAGAAATTTGGTATGATCCTAAAATTTACAGCTCTGATATAGATATGGACAGAGAGTTCGTTGAATTGTATTACCAAATGGAAGGGGATGATATGGTGGGTGTTGGGTATCAATCACCTTGGGTTTTAAGATTCGAACTTAATCATGGTGTGATGCTAGATAAGAAACTACACATGGATACTGTTGGATATAAAATACAAGAGAATTTTTCAGCTGATATACAAGCAATTTGGAGCGATGATAACGCCGAAAATAAAGTTATACGATGTCGAATTAAAATTGAACCCGGAAAAGATCATACCGACGAAGAGGGGAAAAGAATTGAAGAAGATGTGTTTTTGAAACGTGTTGAAAACAATATGCTCACTAACATTGGTCTACGTGGTATTAAAGGTATAAAACGCGTATATTTAACCGAAAGTCAAAAAACACGTATTTATATAAATGATGTTGGCAAAATTGTCAAAGAAAATGAATGGATGCTCGAAACTGATGGCACAAATTTATTAGAGGTGCTTAATGTTGAAAATGTAGATCATAGGCGTAGTTACTCTAACAATTGTGTGGAAATCATGGAGGTGTTAGGTATAGAAGCAACTAGAGCTGCCTTATTAAGAGAACTTCGTAGTGTGATAGAATTTGATGGTTCTTATGTCAATTATCGTCATTTGGCACTTTTATGTGATGTAATGACATCTCGCGGACATTTGATGGCCATTACCCGACATGGAATTAATCGAGCGGAAACGGGAGCTTTAATGAGATGTTCTTTCGAAGAAACCGTTGAAATTTTAATTGAAGCTGCAGCTGCTGGTGAGATTGATGATTGTAAAGGTGTAGCTGAAAATATAATGTTAGGTCAAGTAGCTCCTTTAGGAACCGGTGAATTTGATATATATCTTGATCAAGAAATGTTGAAAATCACGGCTCCCCCAATAGAAGGGCAAAACAAGGAAACTGGTTATGGTACAGCAGATAATCGTCGCACAGTAGGAGGCATGTCTCCTGTACATGCGACAAATGTACCCATGACGCCATTTACTATTGGAAGCCATACACCTTCATATATGATGTCGCCAGCATACAATAATATGTCGCCACAATATTTTGCTCCTAATACACCAGCATTTTCACCAGTGCTTGAACCAGCTGGAGGTTCAAAGGCTATTACAGTTGGGCAGAATTATTCATGGTCAAGCCCGTATAATTCCAGCAGCCCAGCCTATAACCCGTCTTCACCACAATATTCTCCAAGTTCTCCTTCTACGGCACCATTCGCACATTCTCCTGCTCCCGCATTTACTCCTCAAAGTCCTGCTTATAGTCCTACAAGCCCATCTTATTCACCAACGAGTCCTCAAACCAATTATGGTGTTGGAGTAATTGGAATTGGTGGTAATATACCTAATGCAACTCCTTCAAACTATAGACAGGCGACAAGTCCTACATATTCTCCAACAAGTCCTTCGTATTCACCAAATTCTCCAAGTTATTCACCAACGTCGCCTAGTTATACACCTACATCTCCAAATTACACACCCACATCTCCTAAATATTCTCCTACATCACCTAATTACTCTCCTACTTCGCCGAGTTATTCACCTACATCACCTAATTATACGCCAACTTCACCTAGATATTCGCCAACAGGAACGGCTCAACATTATTCACCCTCATCACCAATTTATTCACCCACTTCACCTACTTATTCGCCTACATCTCCTAATTATTCACCTACATCTCCTTCTTATTCGTGAGTATTTTTAAATTATTTTTTATTATTATATTTTTAATTTGAATAATTTGAATCCTGTAATTAAATTTTTTAACATTTTCTTTAGACCAACCTCTCCAGTATATACGCCTTCATCTCCTAGTGCTACCGTTAATTATTCATCATCAACTGTTACCGCTACATATAACCCAGTGTCGACAATAAGTAATACTTCACAGAGTACTATTGGATCCGGAACGTATAGTCCTACATCAGTAATTAGTCAATCAACTATTACCACTGGTTCGCCAGCATCGCCAAGATATAGGTTAGTATCTTATATTAAAATTTATTTTTAAAGTTGTCGACGAGTCATTCAAAAAATTTTTTTTTGATTTTTTTTTTTTTAGCCCGACATCACCCGCTTACTCACCATAAGGCGTTAAGAATCAATAATGACAATTCAATTTTTTTTTTTTTTTTTTTTTAAAAATTCAACGGAGTCATGCCACAATAAACCTTTATTGATTATTATAGTGAAATAAAAATTTTACATATAATGAATCTTACATCGATTGTAACTGCTTAAAGACTAACTATTTATTAGCCCCGCCGGTTAACCCAGGTTTTATCCCAGGTAACTGATGGCCATACCTCCGCCACAACAAGATGATACCGGGTCCAGGCTCGTTGATGTACATTCTAATTTAAAAAAGAAACGCGTATTACGTAATCGAATTTATGAATCATTTACATAGCAAAAAATGAGGCTAGTAGCTTTTAACACATATTGTTAGGCCGGATGGGTTGTAATACATTAATAATAGCATTTCTAAGTATGGCTAATGTTTCCTGCATGATCTCTAGATAATAAAATCCTTTTAAATGTTAGTGTAAATAATTTTATTCAAAGAAACTATTATATCTATTGTCAATATTTCTAAATTGTCACGTATCCAGTTTCCGTGTATTCCAGGGATCTGCATGAGGAATTGTTTTAATTAGTGAATTTTTTATACATGTTGATCATTTGGTAAAATCATTTGGTAAAATCATTTGATTAATCTATATAATAATGCCAATAAAAATTTTACCTATAGTATTGTATGTAGTATAGTGGTGTTTGAAATTCAATGTGCGGAATGTGCGCTCGCACGAAATTTGAAAATTCCGCACAAAAAAAAGGCATCCGCACAAATTTTGCATATAGAATTCTAAATTGTGCATATTGCGCACAAGATTTAAAATTTGAATTTCAAACACTGGGTACTTTGTATACGGATGATTTTATCTGGATAAACGGATATCTGTACAGATCCTCATTTTATTATTAGTAGTTATCTATTATTTATTATATTTATTTATTATACTTACTATATGTAATTTGTTGCAGAGCAACAGTTAATATTCTAATTTAATAAGTTATATAAAATAAAAAGACTGAACAATTTTTATTATAACCAAGTTCTTATTATAGATGTTCGCACTGTATAAAAGAGCGAGACTCTTATTTTAATAGTATCCAATTTTGCATTATTATAATAAGATCGATGTTCACCTTACTAAAGTTACACAAAAACTTCAATTAATAAAAATTGTTGTGATCCGATTTGTCATGGCGAAGTTCTCTCAACTACAGATTTTTTAACACACTGCCAATTCTTTTTACCCCGATATTTTTAAGTTTCTTCCTCGTCTGACTCTTTTTCAAGATCTACATCTGTTCTAGTGTTTTGAATCATGTCCTGCTAGAAGAATTGAATACATTTTTGGCTTTAAACATACAGACTCGCTATTGGTTCACCCTTAGTTTCGTCTTTTACTAAAAATAAATCTCCAGAGTTCTCAAGATCAAAAATATCTTGTCTCTCTTTCATATCTTTATAAATATCTTCTGTTTCTATTAATATAATGAATGAATCTGTATCAGTATAAAGAAGACGAGCTTTATTTCTATAGCGAGCCTTTATATCTTCATACCAAACATTATACATCATAACCTTACTAATATCAAGAATTGCTTGTCCTACGAATATTGGTTTGCTTAACATCAACTCACTATGTTCATTGTCGATGTAATACATATATAAACCTTTTCCGTTTTCAGAAAATTAAACAAACCGTGAATGAATGCAGTGATGAAGAGAATGGGCATATGTCCACTAAAAAATTATTAAAATTTAAAAATGGTACTTTACTAATATTATTACAAGTAAAATTTGAGATCGTCACGAAGTCAAAATATCATCATGTGTCCAGTCACGCCAAATACTAACTTGCACAAATTCTTCGTTTTGGCACCTGATCCGGAAAATGAAAACGATTTGGAAATAATTCGTTCATTACTGGAGAGGAGATTTGAAATTAAGTAAAATGTTCTTACTGATGCGAGTTAATTATTTCATCAGACTTAAATAATGACATGCAATCAGTCGATCTAAAACTTGCCAACCGAAAAGAATTCAATTTTATAAACTTTGATGCTTATTTTATAAATGATTACACGATTATGTTTATATTGTCATGTAAATCTGGATACCAAAAAAAGGAACCAGGAGAATTTACAGGATAATAGAAACACATAATTGGTATAATTGTGGAGTTAACATGGAATCTTTAAAATTTTGATTCTTTTATTTTTCCTCTTTTAATTAGGAATTAATAAAATGTATATCTTATCTAACAAGAAATTAAAATTGAATTTTTTTTTGTAAAAAAATGGAATAAAATAACATGTGTATCGATAAAAATACAAAACATTAAATAAATTATTTGATCTATCAATAATATTATATTTTACTTTAAATCTTTCTTTCTGGAATCATTGCTTTTGGTAATTCTTCTGGTATTTCCCCTCCAGCCATAACAGCTTTGCACAAATGCATTGCGACAGCAAATTGATCAGAATCCATATAACCATCCTTATCCCAATCCGATAAATTCCAAATTTTTGCCAATATAACAGTATCTAAACCTGTTTCCATTAATACAGGCTTTATTTTTGTTCCAGGAACTTTTCCATTTACGGGTTTCATCGCATTGAATTGTGGTATAATTGACTGTTTATTAACAGCAGAGAAATCCCAATAATCAGGTGGTAAATCATATTTTTCAGATGTGCGTGGAGATTCGGAGAAGGGATTACGTTCCGTTGGAGCGATCAATTTATTACCTTGTGGAATTTCAGTCATTAATTTTGGTAAGTCGACGGATAATGCCTATAAAAATTTAATTTTATAAATTCCATAATAGTGCAGTTCGAATTCCTTCATTATTACAGTTAACTTACATCATCGACTTTTTCAATTATTTGAGGTTTCAAATTACTAAATTTTTCAAATTTATAAAGATTAAGACCTTGTTTAAATCTTTCTAAGTTAGGAAAATCTCCAGGCGCCAAATGATGTCGTTGTTGAATTTTTAGAAATTCCTTATCTAGTTTTTCAATAAGTTCTTCTTGTTTTGAAGTTTTACCAAACATGGCTGGCATTTCTTTCTTTAAATGTCCAATAATATAAGCATGTACCTATAACCCAATATTTGTCAATATTTGTAATATTTGTCAAATTTACGTTAGAAATTTATTTTTAATAATTTCATACCTTTGCTAATCTTGCTCTTTTAACTATTTCATTGATCTTTCTGATAGTTGCATTACGAGGTAAATCACGTAAGCTGTTCAACAGATCTTTTTGTTCAGCTTCAATTAATAACCTACAATCGTCAAATGCATTTCGTGGTTTCTCTATCCAAAAAGAACCAAGATAAACTCGCATTACTTCAGGTGTCTGTACTACTTTTCCAAGAGACCACATCATGGCACCATATCTTTGTACATAATAAAATTGTTTGTAAATTTCCGTGCAAAATTTACGGGGGAGAAAATTCCGATACTTACACACGCATTAGTTGTTGTCCATCGACCATATCAGCTTTATTAAGTAATATTCTGACTTTCTCTTCATGCCCTCTTAATGAATGAATGGCCAATTTAAATTCATTTGAAATATCCAATTTATGAGAATCAAAAATTAACAAAATCAAATCTGCCCTTTCAGCAAACCATTCTACCACTTCAGTAAAATTATATCCACGATCAATACGTTGTTTATCACCTGCCAATATACCAGGAGTATCAATGAATGTCATATTTTCCAAGACAGGTGATGGAAGTTGAGAAACCTGTTAAGTCAATTACATCAAGTAAATTAATTACATTTTTTTATTTATCAGAATTATTAAATAAATAAATATATATATATATATATATATATTCGACTTTGTTTGACATACTTGAAATCTTGATAAGAATGCCTGACCAAACTTATTTAATCCTTGAAATGGTAATTGACGATTTACAGCTGCGGCATTTCCAGGAATGACCTAAGATTTTCATTTCAGTTGAGAAGAAATACGATAATAAAGGAGTCGCAAAATTTGTTCTTACGAACCCTTTCCTCTATACCATTCATTACTGCTACAAATCTATCCGTCTATTCAAATTATAGAATTAACATAGAATTAACATAATATTAATTTTAATTTATAATGTTTTCAATAAATTAAAATAATTTTAAAACTTGCAGTTGGCTCTACTCCGACATGACTACCTAAATGTATAATTTAGAAATCTATTATTAATTATTTTTTTTTTTTGATATAAATACTTTTAAAACTTTAAATTTTACCAGGATATTCTTTTTCTAATAAATGTTTGATAAGAGTAGTTTTCCCAGTTGAATATTGTCCCATCAACAACACAATCGGTTTTGCTTCAATATCGCTATCAGTCAAAGGTGGTGAATGAAACCCTTCAAAGTTATATGTAGTTTCTAAGGGCTTAATTTTATCATTATATGATCTTTTAAGTCCTTCTATAACGCTGTGATATTCTTCACTGTAATATATCTCATCTCTGGAATTAGAGTTGGGAGTTGCTATTTTTGCTTGTGATTGGTTTGCTTCAGATTCGCTACCCATAGTATCGTATCTAAAGTGTGAAGATTTCTTATCTGATTTATTAAAGACCAATATTATTTCCTCGTGATGTTCCACACATCTGATAAAAATGAATCATAAGCAAAAGAAGTTGGTTGAACAATGTCTAATAATAAAGACTCCATTGACAATACGTTTATTTCATTAAATGAGGATAACTCTAATGTAACCTTCTTTAAAAAGAAAACCAAAATAAATAAAAATGTTCGTAAACGTAAGCAATCACCAAGTGCCGAAGAGGAGGAAGGTTCAGTAGTGATAACCAAAGAACGTAAATTGGACACTTCAAGTCCTTTTGTACAAAATACAAAAAAAGAAAATCGTACAGTCACGGAAGACATTGGAGGCACTTTTATTGCAAGTAAATCAGCAGTATCTTCAATACCTCACGATGTAGCTACGCGAACAGCGGAATGGGAAACAGAAACAGACAGAGATGCACAAGCATTGTTAGAGAAAAAATTAGCAGCAGAAGAAGTAATTTATTTATTACATTTTTTGTATTTTTTTTTTTTTTATATTGTATTTAATGTATTTATAATATAATATATTTATAATATATTTATAATTGCATTTTTATTAGGTGGATGATAATTTTTATAAAGGACAAAATTCATATAAAACCTATATAAAAAAAAGAGATACAGCAGCAGGAAATGCTGCAAGCTCCAAAATAAAGTAAGGAAATAAATTAAGAATTTATGAAATTTATTAGTTATTTATTTATTTATTTATTTATTTTATTATTTATTTTATTATTTATTATTATTATTATTATTATTATTATTATTAATTATCATTATTTTATCATTATTTTATCATTATTTGAAGAGCTGGTCCAATTCGAGCACCAACCAATATACGCGTTACTTCGCGATTCGATTATCAACCAGATATATGTAAAGATTATAAAGGTATAAATTATATGAATTATATGAATTATATGATTAAAAGATTACATAAATAAGAAGTTAATTGATTTTATTAATTTAATTTTTTAGAAACTGGATATTGTGGTTACGGTGATTCATGTAAATTCTTGCATGATCGAGGTGATTATAAAACAGGATGGCAATTAGAAAAGGAATGGGATGATATGCAAGGAAATTTGCGAAAGGATCCAAATGCATTTCTAGTGGAAGATAGTGATGAAGAAAGTGAAGAGGAATTACCTTTTGCATGTATTATTTGTCGACAAGAATTCAAAAATCCAGTGATTACAAAGTAAGTATTCAATCTTTATAATTATCTTAATTATCTTTAAATGTAATAATAATGATGAACTTTATAACAATGGGAATCTCTCTGAATCAAATTGATGATATCTCTCAACTGAAATATATTAAAATATTCTTTTTATTCTAAAAATTCTTTATATTCTTATATTTTATTATAAACCGTATTTTGATTTTATTATTTTTATTCTTATAGATGTGGTCATTATTTTTGTGAAAAATGTGCGTTGCAGAATTTTTCCAAAAGTACGAGATGTTATGCGTGTGGAGCACCTACAAATGGTATATTCAACACTGCAAAAAATCTTGTGCAAAAACTTGAACAAAAGAAGCAACAACTAGAGAAAGAAGAAAAAGATGAAGAAAAAATAGTAATTTAATTGAATCTAATTATTTTGTAAAATTATTTACTATTTAAATTTCTCAAATAAATCCTCTTAAATATCTTAAATATCTAAATATCTTAAATATCTTTAATATCTTTAAATTTATAAAATTTAATTTATTTCGCATTTTCGTAAAGTCTATAATCAAATTCTAAAGCTTTAATGTCAGTTCCACGGATTACTACATGATCATAAATTCCCACAGGAGATTTCCATTTATCGAAACGAAATTTATTTTCAGATGTATCAACAGAATTAAATTTTCCTTGAATAACAGTACTGAAATAAAATTATAATTTAGTCGATTTGATTCATTTTTTTTAACTTTATCTAAGAATATATATATAAATATATATAATATATATATAAATAAAATTATTACTTTTCGTAAAGTTTTACAATCATTTTTGGTTTATTTTGACACATATCCAACCAAAATAATAAAGATCTTTGACGAAGGTTTGATATAGCTCTTTGTTCAGTTTCAGTTAGTTTCTCTTCCATTACTACTTACTGAAAGTACAAAGTGAAATCTCTATACCGAAAAAAAGGGGAAAATATAATTTTATTGGAAATTTCAAGAATAATTATTATTTGATCAATACAAATACAATTAAGTACTTATCAAAATTTGAGAAGAAATTAATCTTTTTTAATTGAAAAGAAAAAAAATACAGTATTTTTCTTTAGGATAATATTATATGATAATATTATAGAATTAATAGAATGATGAATAGAATGGAGTGATGTATAAATAAAGAAAATAGAACATTATATATATTGAATGATTTTTTTTTTGATTTTTTTAGTGGGAAGCAAAGATAATATAATAAATAAGAAAACCAGCTTCTTATAGTTAATTTTATAATACAAAGGAAATATAGAGGAAAATACAGAGAATAGGAAATAATCAAAAAACAATTATAAATGTATGAAGAATATATAATAATTATAATCTATTTTTATTATTAGAGTTAGGATTCTATTTATGATGATTATTTATTATTATTATTAACAGCATTATTATTATTATTATTGTTATTATTGTTATTATTTTTATTATTGTTAATATTGTTGTTGTTGTTGTTATAATTATTATTATTATTATAATTATTAAAATTATTATTATTTTGAATTTCTTTTAAATATTCAAGAGGAATGTGATTATGTTTTTGAGAGAGAGGTCCAAATTCCGTACAACATTCAATTTCCTTGAACCATGGATCTTTTTTAATTTTTTCAATATTGTAACGCTTTTTAGGATCAGGTTGAAGAATTTTATATAGCAAATCTCGACAACCACGAGGAAGTTTTTCAAAAGGTTCATATAAACCACTGTTTTTAGTTTCCAAGTAATTGACATAATTGGCATAATTTGGATCAGTTGAAGCTGCCATTCTAAATGGAATACCTTGATAAATCATACAATAATAAACGATACCACAAGCCCAAACATCAACAAGACGAGCATCATATTCTTTTGTTTCAAATTGTTCCTAAAAAAATAAAATAAAATAAAATAAAATAAAATAAAAAATAAAATAAAATAAAATAAAATAAAATAAAAAATAAAATAAAATAAAATAAAATAAAATAAAATAAAAAATAAAATAAAATAAAATAAATGAACATTAATAATAAATGTCAATAAATAAATGAAATGATAATAAAGTAGTACATACCGGGGCAATATAAGGTTCAGATCCACAAAGACCTTTAGACAAATGAGCTGATCCTTCCCAAACTGTTTTAAACACATCGGAAACACCAAAATCTGTGATTTTCAAATGACCACTTTCATTAAGTAACAAATTTTCTGGTTTAATATCCCTAAAATAAAAAATAATGAATATAAATGTAATATATAAATATAAAATAATATATGATATAAATATATGAGAAATAAATATGATAAATAAATATAATATAATAATAAATAATAATAACCTATGAGCAACACCCATAGAATGAAGATATCCTACACCCATAATAAGCTGTTTGAAGCAACAATTTATTTCAACTGAAGTCATATAACCAGCTTTTATTGCAGCATATAAATCACCACCAGGACAATATTCCTAATAAAAAAAGAGATATATATATATATATATAATACATATAAATTATTATAATAAATAAAAATAAAAATAAAAAAATTATTTACCATAACTTCACACCAATTATTATGTTCATCCTGAACTAGATCTACAGTTTTAACAACATTGACATGTTGTAAAGATGAACTTATGCAAAATTCGCTTGTTAATTTCTTTATATATTCCTTTTCCGTTTCATTCCTTCTTCTTTTTCTAAATTCCTATAATAATAATGATAATAATAACATATAAATATATTAAATATAATAAATATAATAACTTAATAATATTATTCATATTTACCTTAACGGCAAAAGTTTGTTCTATGTTCGTTTGTTCGTTTTTATGAGCAAGACGAACTACAGCAGTCGCCCCTTTACCAATAACACCCTTTTCGCATACACCATATTTTTTAATAAACATGGATTCCGGATCAACTTTTACATTTTCTTGTTCAATACCATTTTCATTGGATTGTTTATTAAGATCAAATTTAGGATTAAGAATTTCTTTTAATGTAGAAATCTTTGATTCAGGAGGGTCATCTAGTTCATCTTTCTCTTCAACCGAAGTAGAAAGACCAGATTTATGTTCTGCATTTAATAGATTCTTGAGACTTTTAACAATTGTCATTCTTTTTGGTTCAGATGATCCATTGACTGCAATTCCATTACTTCCATTAATATTTCCATTACTTTGTCCATTACTTTGTCTATGGTTAGAAACTCTATTAGAAATTGTTTTGGAGACAAAAGGTGTTTGATTTGGATCAGTACTATCAATAACAGGAAGACTGTTATTTCTTTTCGGTTTCTCAAGGTTAATGATGGTATTAAGTTCTTTATTAGCAGTTCTTTCTTCTGATTCTGTCATACGACGACGAGCTTTACTATCGAGGGCAGGTGCCCAGTAATCTGTAGTGAAGGTGAACATACTTTATGTACTTTCGTGTAATGATATTTTCTATAATATTTTTTACGTCTAATATTTTATATTTTAAGAATGATCTAAATAAATTTAAATAATTAAAATTTAAATAATTAAAAATTTTAAATAATTACAAAAGACAAATTCTAAAATTATTATTTATTATTATTATATTAATACAAGGAAAAAAAATTTTGAGGGGACAAAAAATTTAAGTTATTTATAGGATTTTGAAATCAGATTTTTGTAGAACTGTATTTATATACTATTACTGTAATTTCTGTATATTTTACTTTATTTATACTTTATGATCGGGTTGATAAGATAAATAATATTATTATTTTGAACAAATTGCCAATAGTTTATAAGTTAAGTGACTTAAATGACGCAATTGATAAAATTAATGAAATTAACGAAAATTCATATTATATTTTATTTATATTATTATTCAAAAAACTAGTTTTTTTTTTCATTATCATTTTCATCTATGAAAATTATGTGTAAAAAAGGGAATGATCATAAGAACATACATTATGTAATAATAGTATAGATTCATATAATTCATTAAATATATTGTATATTTCTTTATAATCACTAATTTCTTATCACAAATATTTTATAATTTAATTTTATATCACATTAAATTTATAACTGTACTTTGTTACATATTTATAATATTTATAGTTAGATAAAATAATTTATTAATTTATTTATTTCCCAAAAACTTTATTTATGATTCCTTTGAATTTAGAAGATGTAGATTTGGATTCATTTTTTTGTTTTATCTCTTCAACAACTTCATTTGTCACAATCTTTCTTTGTTTGAATTTACGATATTTTGGATTATTTACTTTTGTACTTATTAAAGTTATAATATCATCATCTTCAGTAGATTTACATTTATTTTGTTGAATTTTCATTTGATCTTCTTTCTCATCTTTAACTTCTTTCTCGTCATTTTCATTTCTCTTTCTCTTTCTCTTTCCCTTGTCCTTTTCAATTTCAATTTCAATTTTTTTTTAATTTTTTAATATCAAAAAATCAAAAATAAATAATAATAAAAATAAAATTTTTTTCTTAAAAAAAAAAGAATAATGGAATAATTACTCACTTCAACAAAAGTTATATCTTGCGCATCATCATTTTCAGTTGTCTTACGTTGCTTCTTACTTTCGATATTTTGAAACATTTTTGCTTTTTCGACCTTTTTAATATACTCTTTATTTTCCCTATGCCCTTGAGAAATCTCGACTTGAAGTCGTTTGGTCCTCATAACATTTTCATATGCTAATTTATATGATATATGTTTTATGATCATCTTGATTAATGTTGTTATAATATTCAAGAATAAAATTTCAAAATTGATTTAAAAAATATATAAACCTATTTGCTCTGTTAAATGATTCCATTTGAATTTAGGTAAATATTTGATATTCCATAAGTCATCGTAATAGTAATTACGCTTTTTTCCACCTATCATATTTTAAAATTTATACATATGTTTAAATTTTTATATATATTTAAATTTATGTAAATTATTATTATTTATACCTATAGGTTGCGTATTTAACGTAGAAGCGACATTTTTTGCAACTTTCTTATCTAAAAATTCTATCCAGCCTTCAGTATAATTTTGTCTCTTATTTCCCCGATATTTTACTCTCCTTTCTCTTATTTTATGATCTAAATAAAATTCGTTTTACCTTTAGTAATGTAATATATTGTAAAAGTATTCTTTCAAATTTATTTTTTACCTTAAAAAGTTTACCTTCTGGTACAAGATAGGCTCTTCCTATATCGCCATATCGACTCAAAAGATGTTTAATCTTTGATGGTTTCATAAAAGGTGGAATTCTTGATAAATAAACTAATCCCGTTTTATTCTGTTCCTTTTCAAACTTTTTTAATTTCTCTGAAGTTAAAGGTTTTACTATCTTGTATATATTGTTCGTATTGTTTGTATTGTTCGTGTTATTCGCATTGTTTACGTTGTTCTCGTCTTTCGTGCTGTTCATGTTCATTTCTGAAATGTCTGCCAATCGTGAAAAATTATTCTTTCCTTGAACATGGTGCATAAGTCATGTGAAGGATTTGCGTTTATATACAAAGATTTTGATTATCAGCAATTTAAGATATCAGCAATTTAAGATATCAAATATTTGTCATCAGAAATTTAAGATATCTTATCAGCAATTTAAGACATCGAAGAATTATTCGACTATTCCAGTTTTCCAGTTAAAAGCCGGGATATAAAAAAAAATATATTTACATATAAAAATATAGATCTTAAAAAAAAAAATGCCTACAGTATTATCCAAATTAATTAATTATGTCACAATACCTTCTCATATCGTTACTTCACCTGGTATTATGCAAATCCGAAAGATCATAGAACAAATATGGACAATATATCGTAATAACAGAACGATATTGGGGCGACTTATTTGGTTTTTTGCAGTGTATTACTTTTATTTCAGTAGAAAACGAAAGCCAAAAAGTTCTCAAGATCATCCCGCCGCTACTGCCGAAAGTTCCCAAGATGCTTCCGCCGCTACTGCTGAAAGTTCTAAATCTAAGAGCAAAAAAGTTGCAGTAAGTTCTATTTTTTTTTTTTTTAAGGTCAAATTTCTTTTTTTAACCGATTATTTTATTGTTTTATATTAGGTGGATCATGTTTTCTTTGAAAGATTAAAAAAATTGCTAAAGATTGTGATTCCGAGTATAAAATCAAAGGAATTCTTGCTATTATTTGTTCATTCTAGCTTTTTAGGTATTGGATTTTTTTTTTTTGATTCTTTGAATTTATTGCATTTATAGTATTTATTTTGTGCATTAATTTAAAATTGGTTAAATTTAAAATTGGTTAAATTTAAAATTGGTTAATTTAAAGTTGGTTAATTCAAAATTTTGTTGTTGATTTTTTTAGTACTGCGGACAATTTTGTCGGTATATGTAGCTGCTTTAGATGGAAGAATCGTCAGTGCATTAGTAAGTCTTATCAAATACGATCAAATGTATATCATCTTTTTATAGAAATATAATTTTTTATAGAAATAAATAAATAAATAAATAAATATAGGTACGTGGAAATGCAAAGGATTTTTTGACTGGAATAGTGTGGTGGATGACTATTGCGATTCCTGCAACATATACAAATAGCATGGTGAGAAATTAATTATGAGATCTATCAGTATTGAAATTTTTTTTTTTAATTTTATGATAAAGAAGTATTAATTTATCATTTGTCTTCTCTCTTTCTCACTCTTCTCTTTCTCTTCTCTCCTCTTTCTCTTCACTTCACTTTCCTTTGTTTTTTTAGCTTACTTTCATGCAAAATAAATTGGCAATACAATTTCGAACTCGTCTCACCAACCATATACACGAAGAATACTTGACAGATATGACATTTTATACTGTAGGGAATTTAGATGATCGAATCAAGAATGCTGATCAGTAAGTTTGATATTCTTTACTTTTGGATTTCATATATTTAACAATGACTAATTGTTTACTAAATTGTTCTATTTAAGATGCATCACTGTGGATACAATGAAATTTTGTAATTCACTTTCCGAACTCTATTCAAATCTTGCTAAACCAATTCTAGATGTCATCATTTACTGTCTACAATTAGCAAGAAATGTTGGTGGAGAGAGTTTGTTTGCTATATCTTTGGTAGTTCATCTATCTTCAGTTGTTCTGAGAACTTTAACACCACCATTTGGAAAAATGGCAGCAGAAGAACAAAAATTAGAGGTTTGCTTTGTTTGTTTATTTGTTTGTTTTTTCATCAATTTATAAAATAAATATATATTCTAATATTTAAGTAAATTTATCAGGGAGAATTTCGATTTACACATTTTCGAGTGATTGAAAATGCAGAAGAGATTGCCCTTTATTCAGGACATGAAGTCGAAAAATCTATTTTAGATAGAAATTATTTTGCTTTAATCAAACATATTAATAGGATTTTTCGAAAACGTATTTTCCATGGAATGATGGAAGATTTCATTGTTAAATATTTTTGGGGTGCCATGGGTTTATTGCTTTGTTCTGTTCCTGTTTTCTTTAATATTCCAAATATTCAGGGAGGAAAAACTGAAAATTTTGGCACACGCGCTCAAGGTAATTCATAAATTCATTTATCTAGACACCAAATATGAAAAAAAAAAAAAACCTAATACTTGATAAAATTTTTAAATAGAATTTATTACTAACCGTAATCTGTTGGTGAGAGCTTCTGACGCATTTGGAAGAATCATGTATTCCTACAAAGAAATTGCTGAATTGGCTGGTTATACTGCTAGGGTAAATTATACATTATTATTATTTTTATAATATTTTTTTATTTTATAATATTTCTTTATTTTATAATATTTTTTTTTTTTTTTTAATATTTTTTTTCTATTTATAATTTTTTTTTATTTTATAATTTTTTTTTATTTTATAATTTTTCTTTATTTTATAATTTTTTTTTATTTTATAATATTTTTTATTTTTATTTTATAACATTTTTATAATAGGTTTCAGAACTTTTGGATGTTTTTGAAGCAGTTAAAGCAGGAAGATTTGAAAAACAATTGGTTTCATCTGATTCGACAAAAGAAAATGCTAGAGTTTTATCTAACCGTGGAGAAGTAATAAAAGATGACAAGATTGAATTTATTGATGTACCGATAGTGTCACCAAATGGAGATGTTTTAGTGAAAAAAATGAGCTTTTATGTTAAACCTGGCATGCATTTATTAATTGTTGGTCCTAACGGTTGCGGGAAAAGTAGTTTGTTTAGAATCTTGGGAGGATTGTGGCCAGTTTATGGTATTTTATATTATTTTATATTTTAAGATTATTTATATTATTTTATATATTTAATATTTATAATTTATAATATTTTTAAATTATTTTATATTTAATATTATTATTTATATTATTTTTATATTATTTTTTATATTATTTTTATATTATTTTTATATTATTTTTATATTTTAATATTTATAATATTTAAATTATTATTATTTTAAGGTGGAACTGTTCATAGACCAGATCCAAAAGAAATTTTTTATATTCCTCAACGTCCTTACTTGTCACTTGGCACTTTACGTGATCAGTAAGTGATATATTTTTAATATTTAATTTAAAATTTTAAAAATATTCTAAATATTTTAAATTTTCAATATTCTAAATATTTGGTAGAATTATTTATCCACATACGGTTGAAGACATGAAAAATCGTAAGGGGGTTTTTTTTTTATTATATTACATATAAATATTATATTTTAAATTTATCTTATTATTTAAAAAATCGGTCAAATGAATTTTTGTATTTAGGAAATGTTACCGATCAAAATTTACAAGAAATCTTGAATGTTGTTCAATTATATAATCTTGTTGAACGTGAAGGTGGATGGGATCAAGAACGAGAATGGAAAGATGTTCTAGCAGGTGGCGATAAGCAAAAGGTAAATCTAATTATAATAATTAAATGATTATAATTTATTCTAGATAAAAAATTAATTAATTAATTAAAATTAAAATTATTTTTAGATTGCCATGGCAAGATTATTTTATCATCGTCCAAGATATGCAATCTTGGATGAATGTAAGTAATAATTAATTTTAATAATAATAATAATAATAATTAATTAATTAATTAATTAATTTTATAATAATAATATTATTATTTATTTTATTTTATTTTATAGGTACAAGTTCAGTTGGTCTTGAAATTGAAAGAATAATGTATACACACGCCACTGGTGAATATTATCATTATTAAAGTATTATTTTTAAACATTTATTACATTTATTAAATATATTAATATATAAAATTCTACTATTATTTTAAAGAATTAGAAATTTCTTTATTGACAGTATCTCATCGACCATCTCTTTGGAAATATCATAATTATATTTTACAAGTATGTCATTATTTAATATCATTTAATAATATTATTAGAATTATTGAAATTATTTGAATGAATTAAAATTTATTAACTTTAAAAATTTTTTTTAAAAAAAAAAAATTTGATAGTATGATGGTCAAGGAGGATATGTATTTACAAAACTAGATGCACAGAGAAGATTAGAATTACAAGAAGAAAAGCAAAATTTAGAACAAAAATTAATTGAAGTACCAAAATTACAATCGAGATTAAAGGCATTAAAGGAAATGCTGGCAGAAAGAGATAATTTGGAAAAATAATCAAAGTGGGAGCACCTCAACTTATCATCAAGAAAATTTAGCACCTTTTAGTTCAAAGTAAAAATATATATATATTTATATATTATATTTATTTTTGAAACTTGTAATGTATAATAATAATAATAATAATTTGTAACATTATTATAGAATATTTAAATATATATGAATATCATTTTTTATAGTAAATCAAATAGAAATTAAATATAATTGAAATTAATTGAAATTAATTGAATTGAAATTAATCGTATTATTTAATATTATTTAATATTATTTAATATTCTTTTATATTATTTTACATATAATTTTATATTTCTGATATACAGTATAAATGTTTGTTATTAAAATATATTCGTTTTTTTTGTTTCTATCATAATAAAATTATTAAAGGTAAGAAAATTATGGAAAAATTATGAAATAGGTAAAATTCTAATTTATTTTATCTCGTTATATCAAGTTGTATAATTTTTTTTAATTTAATTGAAATGGAACTTAAATTGATGTCCTTCGCCATTACCGTCACCACCACCGAAAGGAAATCCAGCAAAATGAAATCCATTACCGAATTGCATGAAATCGTGATAGAAGAATGGTTGATTTCCACCATTAGGATCATTTGGATCGTCGCCATTATCGAATCTCGCTCGTAATTCTAAGAAATAATTAATTAAAAAAATTATTATTATTATTATTATTATTATTATTATTATTATTGTTATATATATTATTATTAAATTAAAAATTCTTAAATTAAATTTACCATCATTCATTAACACTTCATATGCTTCGTTGATAGAACTCATTTTTGTGGCTACTTGATCTTCTGAAAGATCTCCTCTATATTTATCAGGATGCCACTCATGAGCTAATTTTCTATACGCTTTTTTAATCTCTCTTTTATCTGCTGACCTGGAAACCCCTAATATTTTATAATAGTCCTTCTTTTTGGATTGTTTTAATAATTTGTGTGCAAATGAAAGTCGTTTTCTCACACTAGAATTAATTTCCTGGTCTTGTGTCAATTCATTAGCTTTATTATAATCATTTATAGCTGATTCATAATCTTCCATATCTATATATGTCTCAGCTCTACTAATTAATGCATCCACATTATTTTCATCCATTTTCAATGTATCACTACACCATTTCAATGCCTTTTGACTATTCTTTGACTATTTATAAAATTATTATAAAATTATTATAAAAATATAATTAATAAATAATTTATAATCAATTTATAAAAATATAATTAATAATGAATTTATAAAAATATAATTAATAAATAATTTATAATCAATTTATAAAAATATAATTAATAATCAATTTATAAATACCTGTTGATATGCTTTACATGTTAAACTGTATAATTTTATTTTTAATTCTTTCTTTTGAATTCCTTCATTCATATTTTTTAATTCATTCTCAACTTCAGTTATAAGTCCTTGCCATTTATTTGAGGCTGTTCCTATTAATTTATTTATTGCTAAAAGCCACCTTTGCTGTTGAATATCGTTATTAATTCTCGTAACTTCTTTTTCAATCTTTTTAATTAATCTATGAAGATTTTTACATGCTTTATGTTCTGGATCATATCGCATGCATTGTTTAAGATTATTACGTGCTTGTTCGAAATTATATAATGAAAAATAATTAAGGCGACATAACCGAATTAACAAATTGGGATCATCTGGTGTAAGTTGTGAAATGGTTCTAAAAAAATAAAATTGATAAAATATGTATATATTATATTTTAATTATTTTAATTAAAAATTTTTTAACTAAAAAATTTTAACCTACGTTAAATCTCGGACTCCTTCTTCAACTTCACCTTTTTCTAAATGACATTTTGCTCTAATTGATCTTAGACTTGGTGACTTTAAAGAAATCCTTATTGCTTCAGAAATTTTTTCTATACATTTAACGTAATCCTTTGCTTCTGATGCGTTTTCTGCCTCCGTTACCAGTTCTTTTGCCAAACCCACATTTTTAAGCTATATTAAAAAAAAATGGATTTTTGATTTATATCTTTTATTAACATGTTTGATGATTAAATATATTAAAATATATTAATATAACTAAATATAATTTTAAAGCTATAATATTATACCGTGTTACTTGCTTCTTCATTATCTAATATTTTTTGTAAATCTTTTTCGGCATCGAAAAATGATCCTTCATTTAGGTATATTTTAGCACGCTGTAACAAAGCCTGTTAAAATAATCAAATTTCCTGTTAAGTACTTTATATCTAGAAAAATTATATTTTAGTCAAATAAAATAATTACCGGCTCAAAGTCTGGTCTTAAATTTAATATTTTGGTAAAGTCCTGCACAGCAGCCGAATTTCGTTTCAAATGCATGTTAGTTGCAGCACGTTTGAAAATAAACCAATGATTTTCTGAATCCAGTTCTAAAAAATTTAAGTGAAAAACAAATTAATAAAAATTTATGAAAAAAAAAGAGTTCAAGGCAAAGGAGAAAAAAAAAAGTAGTCTAAAGAATTACTAATTGCATCGTCAAAACTTTTCAATGCTTCGTCGTAGTTTCCTTTTATAAAGTATTCGTTACCCTCGTCAAAGAGTTGTTTTGACTTGTCGTTGAAAGCGAAAGTCGAAGAAAGGAAAAACGGTAGTAAAGCGAGAAAGAAACAAGGTACTTGTACTTTCATTGCTTCGTTATTGTCAATTTTCTAGATTCGTTTGTTGTATTTATAAAAAAAAAAAAAATTAGAATAAAATAAGTAATTACTTAAATTATACTGATTATACTGGATTACTTTAATTATTACAAACGAGTTAATAAACATGTTAGAATTTAAATGTGGAAATTAATGATTGGTCAAAATTACATGTTTTTTAATATAATTAATTTTCCGTTTATAGTCATCATAGTCATCATAGTCATCATAAAAATTATAAAAATTGAAGTGGGAGAACAAGAATAAATAATATTTAATAAAATTCATTAAAAAAAGCGAACAATTCAAAAATATTATATAATTTATGTCAAGAATGCCAATTTTCCACAATCTTATTACAATGAGGAATTTATTATATTATGTATTATATATGCAATACTCGAAGACTTTGTGAATGAACCAATTTTTCTGCATTTGGCTTCACTCAGCGTGATAAAATGCTAAAATGAATGAGCAAAAATCGTCCCCTATCAAAGCTATTGGTTAAAATTTCGATGCTTCGTTTTGTCTATATGTATGAAATAAACATCTAAAATGGTAAAATGGGTATTGCAAAATATCACCGCAGATAATTGTCACCCTTAGACAAATTTTCATAATTCCTTGATCAACCCTAACCCCACGTAAATTTAGCAATTTTTCATCTAAAATTATTCTAATAATATATTTTTACATATATACAACACTACCCTCGGAAGCAAAGACTTCGTTTTTAATAGATCTATGGTTATTTTTTGATATATCAAATTTTCATGTGAAAAAATAGTTATCTTCTATAAATAAATAATTAAAAAAAAAATAACCATAAGTCTATCAATTTTGCAACTTTTGCCATTTCACCTCACGTGATTATAGAATTTTATTGATCCACAATTTAAAGCTTCCCAGGTATGACGATAAACTGTACGGTACGAAACGCTATTTTGTACTGTACGATTTTATATAAATTTTGCACAAAATACGTACAATAATATATATATTATAAAAATCTAATTGTACTGTATGAACTTTTTTATGTTAAAAAACCGTACAGTACAAGTATTTTTATATTAAAAAGCCGAACAGTACTAAATATAAACCCAACCCCTGTAATATATATTATTATCTATTTATGTCAAATTTAGGGATTAGGGTTTGTATCACATGCAAATCAATTAGGGGTGTTACATTTTATCATCACCACCTCAACACATCCCAACATTCAATTTTTATTATATTTTTTTAGGACTTAGAATTAAAATATTATTCGTTACATTTATATTATCTAGGTAAAATTCCCCACGGTTAAAATTATTGAAAAATATCACGTGATATTAGTAATCAACAGTACAAGCCACAAATAAATCATACAAGTCACTATTCATACTATACATATTTTCAAAATTGATTTTGGATTTTTGAGGTATTTCAACTTTTTGAGATTTATGTAGAATCTATTCTATATATAAAAGTAAAAAAAGTATCTAGTTATGTGTATATTCAATCAAAGAATAAATCTGAGTGGTCAAAGAATTTTGAGTTTTAAGTAAAATAATTTTGTCTTCTATGAAAAACTATTTTGACTTTTTTTTTCAAAATTATAATTTTGGAGCTTCAAAATAATTTTACGTGCAAATATAATTTGTACAGTACAAAATAGTATTTCATACTGTACAGTTTATCTGTATACCCAAGTTTTTCCAATATCACCAGAAATATTTTCATATATATGTGATTTTTTTATATGAAGTTATTTTTATTTTTATTATGATTTCATTGATTTTGTTAATTTTGCAAATCAAATTAAAAATTTTACATGTGTTTATAAAAACTTGTATAATAGTATTGACATGACAATAAATATTCTATATCTTTACTGTTTATAAAAATAAAGATAAACAAAAGATAAACAAAAGTAAAAACAAAAGATAAATAAAGGTAAAAATAAAGAAAATTACAAGTTTATATATTTAATGTTACTTACTAGTATTATATATACCTGTTTTTTATTAAATTAGTTTCTTACATATTTATATATTTCTTTTTTAATATTAAATAAAAATAAGTTCTAGTTTCGGTTTATTAATAATAAATAAAAATATTAATAATAAATAACAATATTATAAAAGATGTAGAAAAATTTACCCGTAACTTTATTTACTATTAATAAAAAATTTTATTAAACTTGTGATACTTGTCATACTTGAAATAAAGGAAAAATAAATTAAAAAAAGTAAATTAATAATCTAATAATAGTTAATTTTTATAATTTTCATGATTTTATTACTAAAAATTTTCAAACATTTGAAAATATAGAAAATACAAATAATAATAATAACAAAGAAAATATACAAAATAACAATTTAGAATTTAAAGTTTTCTGTACCATAAATATTACTAATTTAGATAGTAATTCTAAAAAAAAAACTATTAGAATTGTTGAAGTAATATCAGATGTAGATGAATATATTTGGATATAAGTTATATATCAAATTTTATTATAAATTTAAATTAATTAATGATATTTTATTTATAATCTAGATATCATAAATCGTATTACTCTAAGGATTTCAAATTTACAATCTATTATTACTATTGTTCTCAATGAGAATGTTTAAGACAACAATTAAAAAAAATCCTAATATAAAAAAGTAATGAAATAGATAGTCAATGGAACAATTTTCATATAAAGAATATATTAAAATTATTATTTATGAAGAATTTAATTTATCTGAAATAGAACAAATTCACATTTTACATTCAGTACAATCAAATGTTTCTGTATTATCTGATATTAAAGATTTTATATCAGATAATATTGATTTACTTCATTGTGAAATTTACAAAAAACTTATTGAATGTAGCTTAGACATTAATATATAACAAAAACAAATATATTCCTGATAACATGAACTTGATAAAAATTGATACATTTATAATAAAGATCCTTTTATTTTAGTACAAAAATAGCTTGAGAAAAAATCTTATCAAATTATATTCCAAACAAAAAAATCTTAAATCTTTTGGATTTTAATTGAAATATAGAAAATTTTATATAATTCTCAATTTAAATTAAATGAAATTGATGTCAATACTACTTGTATATAATTTTTATTAAATTATATAATTAATTTAAATTTATAATTAATTTTTTATATTAAATTTATGATTTTTAATTAATTTTTTACATTAAAATTTATAATAAATTATTAAGAATAATATTTAGATTTTTTAATTTTTAATTAAATTATAATAAATTATTTACATTAAATAAATTTTTACTTTAAATTTATAATAGATAATATGAATAATTTGAAGTTTAAGTTATATATAATACATGCAAATATTAATAGAATGAATTTTTCATTAGTATATCTTTTTTTAAAAAATAATGACAATTGTGATAATGGAATTCGTATTATAACTTTAATAAATTTTTTTTTAAAATTAAAATTTCATAGACTTGAACTTGAATTTTTTTTAACTAACAGATTTTATACAAATTTCGGTCACTCATTTTGTTTGAAAAAATATTAAAATAAAATTATGCCTTTGGTATATCAAGAAAGTAGTAGAAACAAAATTATCAAACAATAAAAAACCATAAGAAATTAATTATAATGGTATAGTTACACAACAACAATTTTCTTTTATTGATCTTTCTTTTAAACTAACATTAAATAAAGACAAAATTAACTTTTATCTAAAATGATTATGTCTATTAATATAGAAATTTCCTATAAAAAATATGTATATTTAAAAACATACTTAAAACATAATTAAAATATTATTAAAATATTATTAAAATATATTTAAAATATATTTAAAATATATTTAATTATATTTGTAATAATCTACTTAAAATTTTATTATTTTATAATTAAAATATATTTAAAATATATTTAAAAAATATTTAATTTAGATAATAAGTAAGTATATTTTAAGTATATATTTAAAATATATTTAAAATATTATTAAAACATATTTAAAATTAAGTATATTTTAAGTATATATTTAAAACATACTTACTCATTACTTAAATTAAGTATTTTTTAAGTATATTTTAAATATATTTTAATTATAAAATAATAATATTTT